TTAAATTTACGTCACCAATTATATAATTTAGTTTCTTTTCCTTAAAACTGTTTTTTAAAATATCATTACACAAAAATGCATTAAAACTTTCAATATGGCTAGATGGTGGGCGATAACAGCAGCTTATAAGTATGTTTTTAGAATTATTGGTTAAAAGTTCAATTGTTAAAATTTCTTTGTTGTCATCAGAAATACTCATCTCAGGCCTAATAAAAAACCTCAAATTTTCTTTTATATAAAAAAGTACACCACCTCCGCGTTTATTTGCTTTACGCGCTAGTGGGATCATATTAAAACCTGGAAGATGGAGATTTAAATTAGATTTATCACTTTAATAATAAAAACTGAAATATAAATTTTATTTTAATTCCGGGTCGAGGAATTGTTTTAGTATATCTTTTAATATAAACTCAGTAAAACCTCAAACTCAATTTAGTGAATATTAAAGTAAGAATAAGCTGTAAAACCTTTATATGCAAAAGCGAAGTTAAAACTTTGATATAAAAATAGATATCGCTATTAGAAAATAAACCAAGAGACTGTCTGTCAATTTTTTTGTTTTGTTTGTTTGTTTATTATCAATAAATATTTAGGAGTGTATGTTTCATAAATATACCACAAAAATTTAATTTTAGGAAATAATTAAATAATTAGTCGAACTTTCTGGCAGAAAGCCTTTTCGAATTAAAATTTAAAACTTGATTTTTGTGTCAAGAAACTTGAGTGGCTCGTTGCAACCCAGACAGCAAGCTTACATTGGCCCAACAAAAGTTTTGTCATTGGCAAGTTTATTTTGTTGGACCAACATTTAGCCAATGTTTTTTTTCGGCGTATTATTTTCAATTCTGCAAATGGGTTTTTTGCAAATATCGTACTATATTGGACGAACATTAAGCCAATGTTTTGTTTTCGGCGTAATATTGCAATTTTACAAATCGGTTTTTTACAATTATCGTAATACTTTGGGCCAACATTTTGCCAATGTAGTTTAGGCTTAATATTTTGCTGTAAAAATCTGTTCTTACATTTATACCGTAGCCAATATTCGGCGAATGTAGTTGCGTATTAGTATATACTTCTTCATTTGTTGCGAAACATTTTTAATAAATGGTATAGTTTGAGAGAATAAAAAAAAGTTTTGATACTATCTTTCCATTTTTTTTTAATTATATATAAAAAAAGAATCCTATATTTATTAATATACTAAGAATCTTACAAGGTTCCTTATAAGAAATAAACTTCAAGAGATTCTCGTGACTTAATGTTTTGTTTTTTTAAATAATGAAATATTTGTTAACATTTAAATAATATGCTTAAAACACTTTTTACTACAATCTAAATTATTAATGTAATAATAAAGACTATAATCAAGTTATTTTTATGTAAGATCTAAAAGTAGGCACTTCAGTTACGTGACTTTTTCCGTGTGACAAGTTTAGAATATAAACATTAGCAAATTTTTCGGCAACTTTTTGGGGAATTATTTTAATGCTATCTAATTTCAAACCCATTTGCCAATTATATTTCACTGGAAAAAATTTAAAAAAAATGTTAATCTGTGGAGGTTATTTTTCAAAGTTTCTTAAAAAAGAAGCTAGAAGATTTTTCAAGTCGTTTTCTTCATAGTTTATTTTATTTACACTTTTTGACAAGTACACATACTGTTTTAAATTGCTTTTTTGAGGTTCTAGCACATCAAAAAAGATTATTCAGCTTTACAATATTTGATATTTGTTTTCATAATGATTTGTTATTTGTGTCTGGACTTTACAATTAAAAAAAAACACTTTTCATTATTTTTTCGATGTTTCTTGACGCCATTATGGGTACTCCGTTTAACCTACATATAGCTAGTTATTTATGTGCATCTATAGAGAGCGTTTCTTTACGTAACTTTTATTTTTGATACTTTTTTATATCTAACTGTTTAAAATACAGAATAGAGATTTGTATTTATGGTATCAAAGTTTAGAAGAAAAAAACTTATCCAATGTGTGCACAGTTTTTAGACAACGATTTTCTTCCAACTTTCAAATTACTGATAATGACCTTAGTTTGTTTTCGAAAATAAAAAGAGTTATTCAGAAAAGTAGGTTGCTGACTAAAAAAAGTAAAGAAGAATTTTTGCTTTTAAATTTTATACCACCAATATCTGAAACAAATATTCAAACATTTTTACTATCAAATAAAATACAATCACCTAAAAAAGAAAAAAATCTCGTTAAAGACCCAGACCATCTTAAAATCGAAAATAAAACTTTAAAACGCAAAGTTGAAGCTGTTGACAATTTAAAAGAAAATTATAAAAGCTGGTATAAACAGCTAAATAATCTTGAAAGTGGAAATAAAAAACTTAAGTCAGTTATAAAAACCAGCAATGCAGAGATACTCGAGAATGCAGAGAAACTCAGAGAATTTGTAAGACAATCCAAACAGTGTAAAGCACTATATACAACAACGAATGAAAGGCTGTCAGCTCTAGAAAAAAAATTTACCACATAAAAACTTAAGAATAAAACAAAAAGAATTCGAAATTTAAACAAGAAGATTTTGTATCGAGATATAAAGCTAGAAAAACAAGAAAAAGAAATTGATGCATTAATAGCCCAATTTGTAAGCGAATCTCAAACTTTAAATAAGGAATTCAATTACCTTAATCAAATGCTAGAAAGTAGTAATACAAAAGTTGATATTTTATCTCAAGAAAAAAGAAATCTTCAAAAGAAATTATGTCGTTTGAAAAATAATTTAAATAAAACAAAGGAATCAATTTCTGCTTCTTTGATTGAAGACCTTACTTTCTTGCAGTCAGAAGTTAAAGATCTTAGTGCAAAAGTTGAATCATTAAACAAAGAAAACATATATTTAAATGGTCTTTTGAAGTTGTTGGAAGATGAGGAAATTGTAACTTTTGAAAGAGGGCGTTATTCAAATGATATTCGTGAAGTTATTATGGAGCTGTTATCATTAAACGTCAGTATGAACAAGATCAATGATGTCATCAAAATTGCTTTAAAGAAACTTGCAAAAAAAACAGTTTCAAAACTTCCCTCTGTTGATACAATATCTAGATTTATGTCAGAGGCTTTAATTCTTGCACAGATTCAAGTATCAGAAGAAATGTTAGATAATGTTGAAAAAGACACCGGAAACTGTTTGCATGGGAATGGAACAACCAAATATCACAGACATTATCAAAACTAGCAGTTGACGTCCAAAAGTGATAAAATGCTATCATTTGGGCTATCAGAATTGGCTTCTGGTGATGCTGGATCTACTTTGAGTTCTTTAACAGAAACATTTGATGATATTTGTGATGTTCTGGACACAAAAGACAAGGAAAAAGACTTTGCAAAGTTAATTTGTTCATTTAGGACAACTATGTCTAATTTAGGTTCTGTCAATCCACTTTTTAATAGTAAATTCAAAGAAATGAGGGAGCTATTGTTACCAAAAGTTATAGAACATTAGGATTATTTAACAATTAAACAAAAAAATGAGTTTAAGGATATGTCAAACTTTTTTTGTAAGTTACACCTTTTAACAAACTTTGCAACTGAGACAGATAAAGTACTGATTTCATTTGAAAAATAGCTCTGAGTGATGATCACAAAGACAATTTTGCATTTAAAACTTTTGAATTGGGGGCTGAAAGACTCATACGTATTGCATGTAAAGCATTCCATAAACAAGGTAGCAATGAACTTGGTGTGGCAGGATATTTCAATTCTTTTCTCATTGGAAAAGGTGTAGACAAATGTATGTTTGCTCCTTTTATAGGCAATAAGGTCAACATTTTGTTTTATAATGGTGCTGCACTGTATTATTGTTCTGAATCTATATAAAGAATTTTTGTCTCAATGGCCAAATCCGAATAATCTATTAAAGGCAGTTAATGAAGATATATCAAATTTATTATTTTTAGCAGAATCTCATGCATTAGGTATTTTTGATAAGTTAATTACTGGTCCCCTTTGGAGACTCATTTAAGAAAACAAAAACATTCTTAGTATGAATAAGTTTTTATTTTGTTTAAAAATAAAATTGTCAGATCTTTGCAAAGGCGCTTCTCCATTGCTCAATCAAACACCTGTATTTGATCCAAGAGAGGTCAAAATACATAAAGATAAACTTAATGAAAAACTTTTTGAGGCGACTGGAAATATAGAATTTGATGTCTTGGTGCAGCAGTCATTCGATATAATTTCCCACGCGTTTTTAATAATTCTAGAAAAACAAGCAATTGATCAGCTCCCAGGAGGTAAATATTGGAACTCAGATGATAGAATTCAAAAGGCTGCTGAAAATGTATCAACAACTAACAAAGCTTCAGAAAGTGATTTTGCGGTTCTGGATCTACTTATTCGGACAAAGCCCAATGCTAAAATACAAACAATTCAAGCATATACAATGTGGTACAGAAACAAAACCTTAGATTGGTTGGATGCAAAATCAGAAGAAGAGCGTTACATTTTAATTGGAAAAGCTTCTAATAGTGTTGAAAAAATGAAATTAAAGTATAAAGAGCGTCAAGTAGAGTTAATATCAAAGAAATCTTCTATTCTGATAGTAAAACAGCAACTCAAAGCAGATACAGAAAAGAAGGCATTGCTGAAAAAATCAAATATTGTAAATGAGCTTATTCAATTGAAATCACAAGTTTGGCTAACAGCAGATAAAGCAAAAGATAAATCTTCAAAAATTGAAAATGATACTTTAAGAAAGCAAGTTATTAGAGTTCAATTAGATTTTTATCGTTATGTAATGGGGGCAAAATGTTTGTTAAAGCTGTTTTATAAAATTAAAGTTTCTGGAAATAAACGTATTGATTTAAGTTCAGGTGAGTTAATGGAGAACCTGTTGACTGTCATTGGTAACTGCAATTTGCCTCCACCAGAAAAAACAACCAATACATTAAAAGAAAAAAACCAACGCAATGACTTGATTAAGAAACAAAAAAAAAAGTTGTTTGCAATGTTAAAAGATTCTAAAATGTCACATCTTGCAAAACAAAAAGAAGTCCTGTTTCTGCCGGCTTTATTAGATGATCCATTTAGTTTAGTTGGGCGAGTTATTCTTCATAAAATAAAAGAAGTTGATGAAGAAGAGTATTTTTGGTGCAAAGCAGATGTTCTTAAAATAGGTAAAGTTGGAAAAAAAATCAAGCAAACATTATATGATGTTATTTACGAGTCAGAACCTGGAAGCATTTATACATTTCCACTGTTATCTGACTTTGATAAAGGAGATATGATCTTGTTATAAAAGGTAGAATCACTTAAAAGTTTCTATAGTATTATTAGTTACTGAACTTATCATTGTTACTATTTAAATGTAAACAAAGATTTTGTTATTTTTTTTGCATGATCATCAAATTTTTTGTTCATTTGTCTTACAGAAACATTTAAACACGATGAAGTGCTTGTAAGATTGTGGTGCAATGCAAACAAGAAGAAATGGTGGATGATGATTTTAAATACATTTTTGTATTTTTCTTAATTTTGATTTGTGTATTTTTTGATTATTGTGTTTTTTCCAGCAGTGATTAACCTTTAAGTAAAAATTTTATTGCCTTTGACCCAATTGCCCCAAATGGGGCAAACTAGGATTGGGATTAAATATTTGTTGGGTTCAAACTAGGATTGGGATTACATATTTGTTGGGTTTTTATAAATGTATATGAATTTGTTTACTCATACAATATAAAAAAGCTCTCATTCTTAACTAAAGTTTTTTTTTTGGTTTTTACAGAAATTTCATTGCCTTTGACCCAATTGTCCCAAATGGGGCAAACGAGCAGTGGGGTTCTTACATATATTTTGGTTTTTTATAAATGTGTATGAACTTGTTTACTCTGACAATATGAAAAAGCACTTTTTCTTTAACTAAAAACTTTACAGAGTTTTAATTGTTCCCGGCCCAGTTGCCTCGATTCGGGGAAAAAAGACCTGAAATTTTTATATATATTTATTGATATTTATAAATATAAATGAATTCGTTCACTCTGAAAATTAAAAAAAAAAAACTTTTTTTCTTTTAGTAAAGTTCATTTTTAACGGTTTTAACAGAGCTTTTTGTACTGTTGTCCCAATTTGCCCCATAATGGGAAAACGGGCTCTGTGTATTTTTACAAATTTTCCTAATATTTATAAATAAAAATTTGTTCATTCTGAGAGTTTGAAAAAGCTTTTTTTTAACTAAAATTAATTTTTTTTTGTTTTTACAGAGCTTTGATTGTTCTTGGCCCAATTGCCCTGAATGGGGAAAACAAACCCTAAGATTTTTACGCATTTTCTTGATATTTATAAATATAAATGAATTTGTTCACTCTGACAGTTTGAAAAAGCTCTTTTTCTTTAACTAAAGTTAATTTTTACGGTTTTATCAAAGCTTTTGTAGCTTTTTACCCAATTGCCCCAAATGGGGCAAACGTGCAGTGGAATCCTTACCTAGGGGCCCCTAATTTGAGAAAAATGATTTGTAGAATTTAACGCTTTGATTCTTTATTAGAAAAGAAAACATAAAGATATAAAAGAATAAAGATAATTTAGCATAAGTACTTCAATGAAACTCTTTCTCATTGATGGCATTTTAAAAATAAATTTATTATCAAAATTTGGTGCCATAAATCCTTAAGGAAAACTCAGCAAATCTGGACGCAAAATAGGCGTTATTGAGCCCAACATAAATTGTCATAACGTAGGAACCAGTTATCCAAATTTAAAAAACGAACTCATTCTGAAAATCTCTTTTTTATCCGCGTACTTTGGTATTAAAAATAGCCAGAGATAATGATAATAGTAAAATCGACCGAAGTGCTAAAAATAACTTAAAGTTATTTTTCTGATTTTTATTGCTGTATTGGCATTTTAAATGTTTGATTTGTTTAGTAATCTTTATTAAATAAATGAAACATTTCAAATGTTCGATTTATTTAATAAAGAAGACGTTTTAAATGTCTTCTTTAATAAATAAATCAAACATTTTAAATGTCATACAGTAGTCATACAAAGTTTTTTTTTTCATAATTTGTTTATAATAGTTTAGATTATACAGCTATTATAAAATATATTATTAAAGGTATCAATAATATATATGTGGCATTGGAGTTGTTAGAAGCTGATATTTTACATTTTAAATATGCCTCTTTTGTTTGATTTTTTCAGTGTTTGATTGTGAAACCCCATCTACTTACATTTTAAAACAGTGTACAAAAAGTGGTGCTACTAGAATGTGTTACTAGAATTTATATTCTACTTACGTAGAGCTTTCTAATATTCCATTTTTCTAAGGCAGAGGGACATTATTTTCGGTTTTAATTTTATTTAATTTAATATCTCTGGATATTTTTCATAATTAGTTTGCGTACAGCAGTTAACAACTTTAAGCTTATACATTAACTTTAGTTATAACTTAATTATAAATGATTTGATTTATAGATTTTTTAAGCAAAACATGAATGAATTTAGCAGAAGGCTAAACTTCTTCTCTGGAGACAAAAAAAGAAGACGGCGAAAATGACCAGCCAAAATGAAATTAAAGAAACTAAAGTAGTGTATATTTTAGTGTAAATGATTTATCCTCAATTTCTTATAATAAAAAATAAATATTATTAAACTTAGGGATTTACCTGTAACTCGAAACTCTTTACAGAAGTTCAATGTTTGCATTGAAAAGTTGAATAAACTAAATTTATTCAATGGTAAGTTTTTATATAAAAGTCTTTATGTTTAATGATTCAAAATCTTTTTTCATAGCTTTAACTTTTACAATTTTAAAGACTTTTTCATATATGACGGTCAAAAAGTCAAAGTGTTAATAAATATTTTATCGTGTAATAATAAACATATCAAAGCTGACACAACAGGCTTGGTCGGGAAGCGGGAGCGATCGCTCTCAAGTACTGACCACGGAAATTATATTTAGTTGCGAAAAACTTTTTAGTCGTTTTGAGAACATTTAAGTTTATGAACGTAACAAGATTTATTTGTTGGATTTCAAAGTTGGTATTACCAACTTTGAACTCCATTTGAAATCAACTGTTGAAAAAAACAACAAAGTATTCATGTCAGTTTAAAGTTTTAACAGTTGCTGGTGGCTCATTATTATTCATTATATAAACGTTTATTTAAATTTATTTAATAGACAACGGTAATACAATATTTTTATAGATGATTTTGTTTATAAAAATTGTATGATTAAAATTCAGAACTAAAATATGTAAAAAAACTTATTTACAAACATTGTGTTAAAAGTGTTTTTTTTGTATACAGCTTTTTGTTATTTATTACCGGTTTTATCTGGTTTTTCTTGAATATTCAATGTTTGGATTGTAAAAGTTTTTTGTTACGGATATATTAGTTAGTTAACACGAGGTTACAAGAAAGAAAACAACTTAGCTAAAACCCTTCTCAATTAATGTGTCTAAAATAATTAAAGTTTTTTTCATTGCGCCCGATGCAAAATGCGAAATCTGAACAAAAAATAATGCCAGAAGAAAAATATTTATCCAATTGAACTCAAAAAGGAAAGAAAAAGAATCGATTTGACTTACAAAAGTTTTGTACACTTGATTCGGTGTAAGATTTGAATTGTGTAAACAAGCGTATTGGTAAGAAATAACATATTGCTTTTGTTGATTGATAGTGAATTTGGTGTTGTTCATTGTGTTTATTGTGTATAAGAGCGAGTGAAAAATTGTATAGAGACTGTAAAGTAATATTAGATCAGAAGTTATACATTTTTATAGTAGTAGTAGAATATAAGTTATGGCTGCAATATTAGGTAGGAAGATAGCTAAAAGGAAAGCACTAAGAAGTATTTTTCAAAAAAATGTTGTAGAAATAAGTCAGGCGTTAGAAGACCCTGACACCTCACAGTCTAGGTTTATAGCTTTAAAAAATAGTTTGAGTAACTCTTATACAAATTTAAATAATATTGATAAAGAAATATTTAATATACTTGATTCAAATGAGGTTGAGGAGGATGTTTTAGCGAGTGTTGAAATAACTGATCCATTTCATAATATACTTTCTAAAATAAATCTAAGGTTAGAATCTTTAAAGTTAGAGTTTGATAATAATTCTGAACAGAGTTTTAAAAATAAAATTAATTGTAGATTGCCAAAAATTGAACTTCCAATTTTTGAGGGTAATTTTTTAGAATGGCAAACATTCTGGGATCAATTTAATGTTGCCATACACAACAATGATGACCTAAATAATATTGATCGTTTCAATTATTTAAAAAAATATTTAGGAGGCCAAGCATTGACTACCATTTGTGGTTTAACCTTATCGTCAGAGAATTATAGAGAAGCAGTTTCTTTATTGGCTGAACGGTATGATACAAATTTTATTCTCTGCACACATGGATTTATTATTAAAACTTGTGAAAGTAAAAAATAGTGATAATGTTGATAGCTTAAGAAAACTTTATAATAATATAGATGCAAGTGTTCGAAATTTGAAATCATTAAAAGTTGAAACTAGCACATATGGATGTCTTCTGATTCCTATTTTTAAAAAGAAAAAATACCAGATGATTTAGTTCTATTAATTTTGAGGAATTTTGGTGGGGAGGTTTGGACTATAGATTTATTATTAAAATATTTTCGAGAAGAATTAAATGCAATAGAGTGTTGTTCAACTAATAGTCGAAATGTTGAAAACAGAAAAAATAATAATCAGTTATTCACAACTGCAGGATTATATTCACAGAACATTAATAATAAGTTCCACAAATTTTAATTTGTTAAAAACAATTAAAAAGCTACCATTAAACAAACAAGTTACTTTGTCGACAGATGAATACAAATTTGCACTCAATGAATGGATTAGAGATGAGCAAAGAATTTTACAAAATGGCAAAGGTTTTGATAAACTGAAAAACTCTTTAAAATTATTTGATGGTGAAGACAAAGTAATACGATTACGAGGAAGATTTGAAAATGCTAATTTAAACTTTGCAGAAAAATATCCTTTAATATTAGGTGGAAAAGAAAGTTGGTTTACAATATTACTGATTCGTAACTGCCCTGAAAAAGTTTTGCATCATGGAATCAAATCGACGTTGAATAAAGTACGATCTCAATTCTGGATAATAAAAGGACGATCGATGATAAAAAGTATTATTAGACAATGTGTAACATGCAAGAAGTTCCAAGGAAGAACATTGTTACCACCTAGCAGCCCAGATTTACCTGAATTTCGAGTTAATAATTTATATTCCTTTCAAGCAACTGGATTAGATTATGCAGGACCTTTATTTGTAAAAACAGTTAATAAGGATGCTGCCTGTAAGGTCTATGTTTTACTATTGACTTGCGCGTCAAGTCGAGAAATCCATCTTGAACTGACACCTGACATGAAAATTCCGGCCTTCATAAGAAGAGCTTTTAAGCGTTTTGCTGCACGAAGAGGTTTTCCTGATCTTATTATCTCCAATAATTTACTCCGACCTTTATATCTAAGGAAGTTAAAAATTTTATGATGAAAAATGATGCGCAACAGAAGTTTATTCTACCAGCTTCCCCCTGGTGGGGCGGTTTCTACGAACGTTTAGTTAGATCTGTAAAAATTACAATGAAGAAAACAATTGGTAAGTCTCTTTTATCTTACGAAGAACTCGAAACGATTTTATGTGAAATCGAATCTGTGATAAACACTCGTCCATTATTTTACATGAGCGAGGATGACACTGAAGAAGCATTAACACCATACCATTTAATGCATGGACGAAATATTGTTAATAAAATGAATGGAATTAGTCTACTATCTAATGATACTTCGAAAAGAGCTATATTTATAAAAACAACGAAACTTAATTACTGGAGAAGGTTTGCAACTTCTTATCTTAATGAACTTAAACAACACCATTTATAGGTAAAAAGTAAAACTTCATACAACGAACAGCTAATATTAAATGATGTAGTTCTTATACGAGATGATATCAAGATCCCTAGAAGTCAATGGCGTATGGGAAAAGTTTTGGAAATTATTAGAGGAGCTGATGGAAAAGTACGAGGTGCGCGTTTACAAGTTTTATCCAAAGAAAGAATTAGAACCACATGTGTCCAACCTATTCAAAAATTAATACCTTTTGAAATTACCAACAAATCAAACGAAAATGAACTAGGTGTGATTGCTGCTGATGAAACGTGCAGGTCAATTTGTAAGCGGCCGATCAGACAGGCAGCAAGCGCAGGCGAAAATTTGCGGCGTTTAAAAGAGTTATATTATTAGTTAACCAAGTCAACATAGGGGTGTATGTTAAAAGTGTTTTATTGTATACGGCTTTTTGTTATTTATTACCGGTTTTATCTGGTTTTTCTTGATTATTCAATTTTTGGATTGTAAAAGTTTTTTGTTACGGATATATTAATTAGTTAACACGAGGTTACAAGAAAGAGAACAACTTAGCTAAAATCCTTCTCAATTAATGTGTCTAAAATAATGAAAGTTTTTTACACATTGGACAAGGGCAGTACTGTACCTTGAAAATCTGGAAAATTGGTTAATGTTGGCTAAAGTCGTGGAAAACCTGGAAAAGTCAGGGAATAATTTTTTCCTTCAGATAATCATCGACAAATTAGTAATTCTAGTTAAGAAGTTACTCGTTTCACAATTGAATGCTGTGTTTTAAAAACGTGGCGAGTCACACTTTTTTTAAAAGTGAGGTTATTTGAATAGAATAATTTTCTTAGGAAAACTTAAAGTTATAAGATAAAATAAAATTTCTTTTAAATATAGATTTTAAAGATTTTTTTAAATAAAATAAAGATTTTTTTAGATAAAAGAAACAATTTAAGATAAAATAAAAACAAATTTTTTTACAGGAGAAATATTTTTCACTCTCTTGTAAAATTTTAATTTTGTGACTTGTCACAATTTTAAAATACAGCGCTCAAATAAGCTATTATGTTTTTTTTTGGTGCTACCCATTTATTTTTTCTGAAACTTATGTTTTTCTAAGTGTTCATTCTTAGTTATCCTCAATAATAAGATCCATACTAACACGTATAATAAGCTTTATACTAATATCCAACTTTACTATTATTTAAGTTATATAAGTTTTGTCATTCAAAGCATGTACAATCTTAGCATTTCCATTACAGTAGATAGTAATTTTAAACATTTTGTAAAAACCATTGTTAAAAATGGTCAGGGAAGTTCGACTTGTTTTTTTAAAAAAGTCAATGAATTTTACATAAATAGTTGGCTACGAATCCTGTTGGAATAACATTTTTTTACTATGAATTTTTTTGTTTTACAGTGCAATCTCAAATATTAACGAGAATTGTTCTGTGTCAGTGCAAGAAAATGAATGTCCACCTGCAAATTTTATTATTTATAAAAATATTATGAATCCATTAGCAAGTATAAATTTTTATCATTAAAAATTTGCCTCTTTGTCTTTAATTTTATCTGCTTTATTAGTGGTTGTTGTATTTACTTTCATAAATTCCAAATATAATATGTAATTAGTTGTATAGTTTCACAATAATATAATTAACTTCATTGTTTCAAGATAAAGTTGTATCCTTGAAAGATATGCTGGTATTATTAGCACATTGGGCAAGTATTGAAGTGCAACTTGGTGAACTACAAAATAAATCAAATTCAGTTATAAAAATTTAAGTAAAAAAGGTATGCTAATTATTGTATTGCGTGAAAGAGTGTCATTGCCATTAAAAGAAGTGAAGAATTCAAGTACTTCGGAAAAAAAAGACAAGAAAACACTTAAGTATATAGTAAATATTTTTTCTTTATCTTTTTATGCATTTTGTATGATATCTTAATACAATTTTTATACTTTAAATAAAATACTCTTTAAAGATTTTTTGTAAATGACATTTTATTTTAATTTAAGTCTAAACAAAAGTTACTTTAATTATTGCCAGGTTGTGTATTTTTGTAGGTCATTTATTTGGCACAAATTGGAGTTAAAGACGAAGGAGATTGTATATGTTTATCACTAAGAATAGTTTTTTAAAATGGCCTAACTGTTAAAATAAACTAAGTAGGGAGAGGATAAAAATTGGAATAAGAAAAATGTTAATTGCATGTATTGCTATCGGTAAGTGGTTTAGAATAGTTTATTTTTTCAGTTTCAATTTTGCATTACAGAATTACTTTCAATTTGTTATGTTTCTTTTTTGTTTCAATTTTTTATGTTTCATGTTTCAATTTGTTATGTTTTATGTTTCAGTTTGTTATGTTTCTTCTTTGGTGCATAATTAAACAAACAGCTGTTTTTGCAGAAACTGTGAAGTTAAACAAGCATGGCCTATGCAGACATGTGATAGAGATAGTGGAAGAAAAACAATAATCGTGGGCACCAAATATCATAAGCTAAGCACGATTTAATTACAAGTAGCTCAGCCAATATTAAAACTACTCTATAAATTTTATAGAGGATTTTATTATTTAAAACTCAATGTGTCAGTTTTTAGTTTAAGTTTAGTGTTTGCAATATGTATACCGAGAAATTATGTTAAATAAATAAATTTTTATACTTGTATCATACGTCCTTTTTTTTTTCTCTACAAATTTTCAATGTAGCGATGCAAAGCTTCTTAGATGTAACAACGATCTAATGTTGCATAAAACGTTAGGCCGATATAAAAATAATAATCGTATAACATACGATATTGGGCAAATGTTGTATACAACGTTAGGCCAATTTTGTTTACAAAGTTCGGCCAATATTGTATACAACGTTGGGCCGTTTTTATTTACAATATTGGCCTAACGTTATATACAACGTTGTGCCAATGTTGGGTAAACGTTCTATACAACATTGGACCAATACCTAACCAATAATCAAACCTGAATTGGGCCAACATCAACTTTCAACGTTGGGCCAATGCATTATCATGCATCGACCTAACGTTTGTCCAATGTAAGTTACTGTTTGGGTATTGATGCAAAGTTTAAACTAATATGAACAACGTTTAAGAGATAAAAAGAGCATTCAGAACATGGTGAAAGAGTATGATCTATTATCAAAAAAGGTATCTATGTATGAAATATACACATGCATGATTACGTTATGAATATAAAGTTTTCTGAGTAATGCGGATAGTTTGTTTAGAATTTGAGCATACATGAAATAGTTTCAAATGTGTCGATGAAAATACTTAATACGTAGATTTACTCAATAATTATTTTCAAATAAAGTAGGGTTAAATTATTTTGTATCTTTGACATATTTTTCCGAAGCAGGAAAAAGAATTGCTCATATTCTGTTAAACTATATACAATATTTTCATAAATATTATTATTATTTTTATTTGTTTGTTTATACTTTGTTTAAAAAATTTAACACTTATTTTTAAAAGTTATTGTGACGGACATCTAAAATGTTTAAATAGACCCTTCAATTATACAATTTTCCTCATTCGCAACGCTTAAGTTGTTTTTTAAGAAAGGATTTTTTCTATATTTATTAAACAAATACTTTTAAATGAAAAACTTTTTTTTTGTAAGGTGCAATTCGCATACCTAAATGGGCCTATGCCCCCTTGTACTTACTTCTTTGCCCCATTTTTGATCCTAAGCATTTTGATTGATTTAAACAAACTTTTTTATTGTTATATTAGAAATAATTTTGAATAAAAAAGGATTAATTTGAATGCTAAGACATAAAACCTTGCAGTCTCTCTGGTGCACATTGTTACGCAGTTTAAAAATAAACTTTAAACGTCATGCTTCTTTTACATTTATCCTACATTTTTGAATAATTTTAATTTTATTTTATACAATTGCTTGCATACAATTGTAATTGCAAATAAATGGTTCAGACTTATCATCTAACGTATAAGTTTGTTTGCATTTAATTAGATAATACTAAACAAATTGTCTTTTTTTAGAATATTCCCATAAAAATGAATATCATATTTTTGAGAGAAGGATTTTTTTTAAAACTAAAAGAAAATCTTTTTTCTAGTTTGTCCTTCTGTCGTTTTGCCACAAAATAACGTCAAATAAACATAAAAAATTGTGGCTCCAACGAATTACGAAAAAGCTGCATTTATCATTTTTAATGGTCTAAGAAGCATATGATGTAATTTTAACAATCAGGCAATAATGAAATTTGAAAGTTTCAAACTTTCCACTTGGATGAGACAATATTTTTCGTTCTTTTTCAACCTTATCAATTTTTTAAAGATAAAAACATACTTAAAAAAAATCAAAACAAAACAGCTTGAGTAAAGAGGTCTAGTTGATAAAAAAGTTTATTTATATTACATACGATCCTGAATAAAACGTTATATAAGTGGAATTTATGAACATTTTATAAGTGGGTTTTGTAGGGATGGTTAAACGCAACAAAGATCAAACTTTTTGTTCTTCAAATATATTGTTTTTAACTGTGTTTTTCTTGAAATACGTAATAAGCATATTAAGGCATTTTGGAAAAAGGCTGCACTATATATTTATAGTAAATAAATAAAAGGCTGCACTATATATTTATAGTAAATAAAAAAAAACTTTTAATTGTAAAAAAAAGTTTTAAAGTTCATGCTTGCAAGGGCTTCCATTTTTTGCCACAACAGCAATACCTTCTGGAGTAGCAGGATTGTCTCATTAAATTTTTTCTTTTTTTAAGTTTTAGAAAATTCTTAAGACCATCTGCAGCTTTTTAGGGTTAATTACCTGAGCACAATAATAACATAAGTATCTCAATCATAGCACGTACGCAACATTTTTTTTTATGCCGGTGTTTTGATCTTTTTTATAATCTTTTCGTTCGTTAAAGTGCATAATATCGTTCCATATGTTTGAATATAATCTCTAAAAATATCAAAAAAAAAGAGTTGCCAGTGATAAGACTCGAACCACGGCTTATTTGTTCAGAAGCTCAACACGCTTTCTTCTTGGTCATGCTGGCATGTTGATAGGAGAATATTTGTAACTATATATTATTATTTTTAACAAAAAACAAATGTTATAGATTAAAATAAAGGAGAACTTGACGCAATTCAATTATCAAGTAAAGATCAAAGTGTAAAACTTAATAAATGTTTTTGTATGTTTTAATATAACTTAGTTTAAACTTTATATGGAAATTTGCATACACATTGATTCCAGTTTTCTTATAAAACAAAATGCTACGACTCCTGCTGTTACTGTAATAGCTTAGTTTTAATACTTATAATAAATAATAATAGTTATATAGCAATCTTTTTTTTTTTAACAATATATTCAAAACTTTTATTTAATTTTTTAGGTTTCGTCCAACAACGTAGCAGACATTATTTAGACACGCGTCTGGCTTATTGATTTAAATAAATAAGAAAATGAACTGTTTATTAAAGTTAGTATGACGTTTAAAAAAGATATGAGGAATAATGATAAAAAGTCCATAAAATTTTATAAAATAATAGTTTTAACGATTGCTTCAGATAACCAACAATTTAGTTTTGCCGAAGATGAGGATTTATTGGTTAAATGGCTTTTTTTTCAAAAAAGATACCTAATGACAAGTTTGCATCTTTTTTGGGATTAATGTCTCCTCAATAAAATGAGAAAAGAAAAGAAAACGTTATAAATGCAATTGTCAATCCCAATACATAAGTTTTACTTCAGATTCTTGTATTTGTCCTTTATCTAATGAAATATTTATTTCCTAATTAGCACATTAGATCAAAAAAGAATTTAAACGCAAAAATGCTGTACTATAAGCTTTACATTTTCCAGAAGCTTAATAGGAACTAACATAGCTGCAAAGTTTCCATACATATTAGAGAAAAAGAAATTTAATGTATCAAGAAGACATATTTAAGTCAAAGATGGTGCTGCTAAAATGTCTCAAGGCAGTGAGCTGGTTAAAGAACCTCAATACAATTCACAAATCATTTATTTTAGCTAATGATTAAAAATTCTGTTTTATATCAAATATTAGTGATTTATTATCTAAAGCACATCGAATAGTAGGCCACTCTAATTATTCATCAAAAGGATGCAAAGAAATTATGTTACTGCAACAACAACAAAATGAAAACACACCTATACTTTGGTTCAATATTAGTCTAATCGTGTTTACTTCCCTGTAAGCAAACATTATTTGGCTCAATAGCAAACCAGACTTGGCTGCCGAGCTGTACCAGGCTAGACGCGCCAGTGCTTTGCGAGCGCCGGGTTACCAATTGGTTTTGCAACGGGCCGGTATACGCAAGCCAGTACTAGCGCAGCAACGTTTTGCTAATATCAAACCAGCATTGAATTAATTTTGAACAAACTCTGGCAACAAGCGAATGTTGCACTAAACACCCTTTACAGAAAACTGTCTAATTAAACTATTTTTTTATCAGTTTTTATTTAATTTACTTGGCTATTTTAACTATAATCAATATATTTTAACCGCAATAATGCCGTAACAAAATTAAAAAAAAATTTATATATATATATATATATACATATGTATATATTTAAATGTTTAAATGTTAAATTATTAATTTGATAAAGACACTTTTCCAGGAGTGTTTATGTTGATTTAACAGTTTATCGAAATCTGATCTTTAAACGCATTTAAAGATGGAGCGTTTACCGCGTGCTGTTTGAGAGAGTTCCAATGGGCCGCAACTCGGTTTGTGAAAAAGTTTGATTTCTCCTCACATCCTCCTACGAATTGACGATCAAGCTGCTTGTCATGGCCGCGTAGATTTTTTACCTCACACCCAATTAGATGGTGCTGTGGGACCGTAAATTAAACTTCGTCATAGTTGTTGAAAATTGTGAACTGTTCAATTATATCACTATGCAAACGACGTTCTTTGAGGGTGTTTAGTTTAAGTACCTGCAGACGCTTTATTTTATTAAAATGGCTGATAGACGATATTGTCTTAGGGACGCGGTCTTTAACATCCTTAAGTAATTTAATGCCTGTTTTAAGATACGGGTCCCAGGCTTGAATGGCAAATTCTAGATGTGGCCAGACATAAGATATATAGAGTTAAGGTAACAAGGTTAAGTTTCTACTGCGGAAAGCATTTTTTAGCTTTCCTAACATGCGATTGCTTGTGGATGCTGCTTTTTCAACTTGTGCTCTGACTTTTAGATTGTTTGATATGAGAACTCTAAGGTCACATTCAATAGTAGTAGTTTTAATAGTGTGGTGCATGTCATCAGCGTTTTCCATAGAGTAGTCATGTGAAAAAATGTTTTTTAGGACAACCTGCATGCATCAATTTACATTTATCAATAATAAACTGCATGAGCCAAGTGTTTGACCGTGAAACCGCGTTATTAAATCTGCCTGAAGCGTTGTGTTATCCGATGCCGACTTCATGATTCCAATAACTTTGCTGTATCAACGTTTTAGCATTATCTTGTGATCTTCCTGATAGTATTTTGATACTAGCAGGAAGATCGTTTATAAATAAAATAAAAAGCAGTGGCACAACGACAGAACACTGCGGAACTCCATTTGTGACGTTCTTCCACTCAGAAACGTGTTCTCCCAAGACAACACGTTGCTTACGATCTTTTTGTTACATTTTAATCCAAAG